AAGGAGCATGAGGATTATGTGTATTATCATCAACAATGTCTATGCTCTTTTTTTCCTTCCTTCTCTTTCTATTTACTCGTTTGTTTTCTATCTACTATACTACTGAGGTAGAGCAAAGAAGAAAAGAGCAGTAACAACAGCGCCAATTCTAGCCAAATATCTATCATCAAATCATCATCACTACTATATTTCCATAAACTAGCAATCGAGCAGAAGCGCTATTTTTTTCTTTATCGCCATCTTTTTCTCTACAAACAATTTATTAAAGCAATCTGTACATAATATGTAGGGACTCTTCTATCTTTATTTTTTATATAATCTATTAATTATCTCCACCTGCCTTGTACTCTTTTACTTAATCTTTCTATACTTCTATAATCCAGCTTTCACAGATAGGGCCATATAACACATATGTCTTATATATGTACAATATGAAGAAGAATTTGTAATTTGGGTGATGCCTTCAGATAAACAACAATAATCATAACAGTGCAATCGTCACCATGTAAAAAAGATTTATTTTGCTTCATCGATAAACGATAATGAGTATTGAACATACATTATCATCAAATCAACCAAATGTTCGATTATTGCTGATTACAGCTAACACAGGTTCTATATTCGAAAAGGTATATGAAAATAAGATTTTTCTTATATCATTTGTTATTTTTTTTGTTTTGTTTTCTAGCCGGATCTGTTAACAGCATGGTTGATCGAATTCGGAAACGTAAGTAACACAGACAGAGATAATAGATATAAATATAAAAAGAATGGCATTGTCATCAGAAAGAGAAAAAAAAACAGAAAAATAAGCTAAATTATATTGTTCGTTTTTGTTGTCCAGCAGAATAATTAAATGAAAACGAACGTTGTTGATTATCACCACAATGACAATTACAAAAAACATTATAATTATTTGACTGTAAATTTTTTAATAGTTTTTCAAATATTCCCAAATCTGTTGTTGGTATAAGTCTACCTTTTGTTACTTTTTTAGCCTAGAAATAATTTAGATAAATAAGAAAATAATAATAAAAAAAAAAATAAGACATACTAAACAATCACAAGAACAATCAATAAAACATACACGAAATTTATCTTCTTCATATAAATCAGATTCATATTTAAATAATTCATCGACATTTTTATTAAACATACAATCATTTGTATCATCTATAGTTGATGGTTTATTATAAATAATACATTCATTTGTTTTATTTTTAATATTATCATCATGAGATAAAATATTTTTTATTTGTGTTGTAGCTGTTTGAAATAGATTTAAATTTTTATTATTTGTTGACATAGGTTTGTTTAAAACATAAAACAAAAATATTTAATGTAAAGTTAAGCGCGAATAAATAATTTCTTTTGTTTTTTGTTTACTTTAGCTTTTACGTCAGCATCCATCTGATTTTATAGCATTACATTGTCAAGAAGTTGGAGGAAAAGATTATGAAAAATTTATGCATACACTTGATCATTTTCTCAAGTAATTTAATTGAATTTTTCGTTTGTATTAATTCGATCTATTCATATTTAAATAGTGATCTTCTTCAATTACCGGAAATTTCTTCTGATTTTACTCGTTATCGTTTATATTTTGATTCGGATTATTCATCTCAGGACACATTTACAGTTAATTAATAGATTTTATTATTTATATATTTTTTTTTGTTATATGATTCTATTTTAGGCTCTTGGTTCTGCATATTTTATTCGTCAAAATCTTTCTGTTCAACAATGGAACTTCACGAGTATTAAAAAAAAACTGAAAATAATTAATTTCTATGTATTGATTTTTTTGATTTTTTTTAGCTTCATCTTTTCAAACTGTTGTTAATCGTCAGATTTTCGCTGGTAATCTGGTCAATGCTCAAGCATTACGAAGAGAAAAATATCCTAGAGATTTTTTCCCTGAAGTAAGACAAATAGCACATAAGCAAAATTCATATTTTTATTTAATAATGAAAATATTCTTAGGCAAAATGGTCTCGAAAAGGTTTTACACAAACTCGTTGGCAGATACATGGCTTGTAAATATTTCAAAAAAAAAATCTGTTAATTAACAATCCTTATTTATTTTTATTACTAGTATATTTGACTTAGTTAATGTACATCTATTTCATGACGCATCAAATCTTTTAGCAATAGAAGGAAGTCCATCTATATACAGTAAATTTCGTAGAAGTGCTTTGCAATATACTCTACAACGGTTTGAATATTAATTTATTTATTTATGTATAATTGAATATTATTTTTTATTAGTTTATCACTTGACCCTTCAGGTAAAAGTGTACCATATGTTATATTTGGTGATTTCAATTTTCGACTTGATGCTTGTCGTTTGATTGAAGTAAATTAAATGAAATTTAATACGTTAAAGTTTTCGTTTTATATATTTGTTTTTATTTATTTATTAAATAGTACATTTCAAACAAACGAAATGATTTAATTGATAAAATTAAAGAAGAAAATAGTGATGAAATAACCAAAATGATTATAAAACATGAAAATAATAAACCAAAATTAACAATTAAAAAAAAAGAATTTAATCTTCATGATAATCATGATTCATTTTTTAATATAAATACACAACAGGTAATTATCATTCGAGTCCTTGACAACCAAAACAGAATGGAAAACATTTTTTTAGTAACTTGATCTGATTCGAGGTCATAGATACGTTTAGATTAATCTATATGAATTCTCTTAAAATAGAAAAAAAAAAAAACAGTCTTTATCTCATCTAGAGTTACTGCTTGTCTTATTAATTTGATTATTGGAAAACGAATTACAAATTTTATCGTCAAGATCAATTTTTTTTTTCATTCATCTAATAATATCAATTTAATCTTTATGTTCTATTTGGCTCTAATAGACTTTAATTATTAAAAATTCTTATTTTTTATTTATTTATTTTTAGGCTCGTATGTTTGATTTTGAATCATCCTCATTTCATGATCATCTGTTTGAATATGAAAGAACTTTTCCGCCAAGGTTTATATTACAAAATATTTTCTTATTTCTTACAAAATCTATTTTATTTTAGTTATCCATATAGTGAAGAACAGCATGAAGCTCGTTCTTATTTACGTGCTCGTTGTCCAGCATGGTGTGATCGTATTCTTCTTAGTCATTCATTTAAAAATTTTGTTGATACTCAGGTTAAATTTTATTAAATTATTCTTTTCATTAATTCTAAATCATATCTACAGGCCAAACAACCAATATATGATATAATGGGATATGATGTTTGTGTAGGCGATCATAAGGTTAGCTATATATATTTCTTGTTTTTTTCAATACTGAAATCTATTTTTCTAGCCGGTATATCTATCCTTAACGATACGTTTGGTACAAGGTTGGTGTTTTTGTCCTTATTATTTTTAATTAGTGTGTTTTCTTACCCCTTATTTTTTTCTTCCTAATTGCAAACATTTGGTTGCTATTTGCTAAGTTGTTTTTGTTGTGTGTGTGTGTGTGTGTGTGTTGTGTGAATTTTTTATCACTTAATTCATTTATTAATACAAAATCATCTGTCACTGTTATGAGTTAAGAACGAAAAAGAAACTAATTAAACATCAGAATAGAAGATTTTATTTTTCAATTTAAAATTTAATTATCAGTCAATTATATTGATGATTAAAATACTTTGTTTTTTCATACTTCAATAAAGAATATTTTATTGTTTTCTTCGTGATAAAAAAATTAGATATGATATATGTAATATCTATTGAAGTTGATAGTTGATATACAAATGAACAACAAAAAATAGAAAAATTTAATTTCGATATATTTTAACTAATACAAATATCGTACAATGTCGATTATTTTTTCTCATTGTATTATTCTTTAAGGAAAAAGAAAGACTAATATGAAGATTCGATTTTGTAAGTATTTACAAAAAAAATAGAAAATAAGCGATTTTATTATCAAAGTGGATGATAAATCTTTTATTTTTTATGATTACTCTTAACAGTGACCGATTGATTTTGATTTTAGCTTTTATATTTATGCCATTAGATTTCAATATTGAATATATTTATGTATAAAAAACAAAGACACATGTTTAATATTACAGGATGTTTGTGCTATGGAATGAATCATTAACATATTTATTATTGATTTTGCTTTTGTTGCTATGCTTTATGCTTTAATAACCATGTGATTGTTGGCTAGAGCTATGTTCTCAAACTTTCTCTTATTCTAGAAGATATGTCATGATAATGAATGCTCTTACTAATCGCCTTGCGAGGGTAAATACAAAAGAAGTCCTATGTTCTGTTTTCCACATAGATATAAAATTTTACTATCACAAACGTCCTTTGTCTTTTTTATATTTTTATACTTGTAGTCATACTATCACTTATTTCTTCTTTTATTTTGTGTGTATATTTGCTTATATATATACTATATATTGATTGTTTATTAGTATTATTATTTTTTTGCTTATTTAATTAATTAATGAATTAATTTATTTTCTTTGTTTTTCAAAGATGTCAATGATCATATTCAAACATTTAAACATTTAACACTTACTTCAAATACGACAACTGGATTACATACATCGGATATAATAGACAATAAATCTCAAGAAATTCAATCAGTATCAACAAATCATGAAGATTTACTTACAAAAAAATTACCATTACTACCAACAACATCAGTAATAACTAATGAAGATGATCAACGAACAATACTCGCACATCATATATTTCATGCTAATATAAAACATACATTTCTTCGATTCATACGCGAGACGCCGGTGTAACCTTCTTTTTTTTAGCAAAAAAAATATTTGTATATATTTGAATCTCTACGTTTTTCCTAGTCTTATCATCTACTCAGCAGCAGTGAATTTAATATCATTTTATGTGTTGTCATTTTTTTTTGTTGTTGTTTTTTTGTTTTGTGCATATATATATATATATATATATACATATATATAGTTCGCAGCAATAATAAACAGACAATGGATGAATATATCTATCTTTTAGATGACATCCATGATGATCGATGATCCGAATGTTAATGATGAATTACCGAATTCATCTAAAGTAGTTAAATTTTCTAATTTATGTAATTTACTTGAAAGAATATCAAAAAGTCAAGGTGCTATTGCTAAACAAAAACTAATGACAAAATTTATAAGTGATTGGCGTAAGACACATAAAGAAGTTCATGCGAATGATTTACCAACTTCAACGACGACAACAACAACAACAACAACTACTACTACTGAAGGACAAACAACAACAAGTGGTAGTCTTAGTGGAACATCACCGACAATTATGCAAGATTCATTTTATCCAATATTACGTCTTCTTTTACCACAATCAGATCGTGAACGTATTGCATATGGTTTAAAAGAAAGTAAACTTGGTAAACATCTTGTTGAAGTACTTAGTATTTCAAAAGATAGTGATGATGGAAAAAAATTGTAAGTAAAAATTGGCATTTTCTTATGCGTTAATATAATTTTTTTAATATTTAGACTTAATTTTCGTGTACAAAAAAATACACGTACACAAAAAGGAAGTGATTTTGCTGAAGTAGCTTATTATGTACTTAAAAATCGTTGTAATGAAGATGTTACAATGAGCATTTGGGAAATAAATAAAATTTTGGATGAAATTGCCGTAGAAAATGGAAAAGGAAAAGAAGGTCAAAAGGTATGTTGGTTTGTTTCATGGAAAATAGTTCATAAATTAAAGTTAGAAAAGAGTAAATAAAATACTCATATGATTCATATAATGTCGTGATTAGACTTTGAAAGAAATATTTTCAAACGAATTATTTCAGGTGATACCTCACGTTTAAAATGAAATACTTCTCATGAGATAGGGTGTATTGAAACTAGAAAAAAACTTAGAAGCGTTCATTCCCATGCGCTATCCTTTTAGAGCTTTGACCGTTTAGTTGAATCTTTTGATCATTAAAAAAAAATGGAACAAACGAACTTCGGATTGAAGCGTTATTCATAAATAGCTCTTGAGACCACTATAATGATTTCTTTTGGAGATATCAAATCTCAAAAGAAGCTATAATATCTTATAGAAAAGGACAGACAATCTATCTCGACGACTTGACATCTCCAACAGGGATTACTCTTTTTGGATGAAGTTTTCAGAATATTCTAATGATGTCAAGAGTTGTTTATTAACAAAGCTTCAGGTCAAAATTCGTTTTTTTTATGTTTTTGCACATGAGAAGTCCAATGTAACGGCTATAACCCAAGTAGGATAATGCATGAGAAGTAACTATTCTAGGCACTTTCTACTCTCAACAACCCATACATAATGAGGTTTGTTTCATTTCAAACGAAAGATACCACTTAAAGTGGTTCTCGCATTAATCAGATTGAACAATTTCTGTGATGGATGCTAGCATTTCACTTGAAATCAGCCCAATGAAGAGGGGACCGTAGTTGATGTCCCTCAGCACAAATTAATTGAGTTTACCAATATGATCCGATTCAAGCTCTGTGGTACAGATAGTACTGCTCAAAATTATAAGAATAATGCAGTTGTGACTTTTTCTGTGATGCCGAATACCTAACTCAAATCTAATCGATGATTTAATTAGTTAATAAACTTCTCTATCAGTCCCAGAAAAAGTTTGTAGGAGTTCCTATTTAACAATAGCGTCTGAAAAACACAAAGTCCTGAACAATATGAAGGATCGCTGTCCTTTTTATAACCTTACTTTACAAAGTTACAAGTACTCCAAAACAGTATACATTTTCAACAATTTTTTTATGCTTGTAGTTTTGTGCAGAAAGATCATAAACAATGCGGTCACTCATTATGTAGTTCTGTACTCATTCAGATGATCCTGCTAAAAACGAACACTTAAGATATCTTTCAGGCTTGAAACTACTGTGTTCCGATTTTTGAAAAACTTTGTCACATAGTCTAACTACAAAAATCTTGATAGACAATATATCTGATAGAGAACTTTATTGGCTATCTAAAGCGCTGTCCTTTGAACTGAAATAAACACTGAATATTAAGCTAGAAAGAACTTCATCGATTTCTTATTACGTAAAGAAACTTTTTTGCTCTACAATTTCATAAATTAGATAAAATATGTAAATGTTCACAAGATGAATTCAATTATGGATTTAATTTTTTAATCATAACTAAAATATTTCTGATATTTATTCTTTTTTTTTAGATTATCGATCATCGTCTTACGTACTTGCTTCGTCATCTCAGTGCACTTGAATTAAAATGGCTCATTCGCATATTATTAAAAGATTTACGTATATCATTAAAAGAAAACTCTATTCTTGAATGTTTTCATCCAGATGCAAAAGATTTATTTGATCATACAAGTAATTTATTTAAAGTAGCTATTTATTTACATGATCCAGAAAAACGTTTACATGAAATTGGTCTTAGTTTATTTTCACCATTTCGACCTATGCTTGGTAAATAAAAAAAAACATATTTCTATTTGAATTTTATTTAAATTTATTCTTTTAGGTGAAAGAACACGAGCTGATAAAATTGAACAATTAATTCGTAAAAAATCTACTAATCCAACAGCAGCTTTAGCTGAATTTTATATTGAAACAAAATATGATGGTGATCGTTTTCAATTACATCGTGATAAAGATCAATTTATGTATTTTTCACGTAATGGTCATGATTATACAAGTGTATTTGGTCCTGATGCTAATAATATTGGTACATTAACACCTTATATTGCAAATACATTTAAAATTGATTGTGAAAAATGTATTATTGGTAAGTGATGAATTTATTTTTCTATTTTGAAAAGAATTCAATTTATTTGTAAAATCTAGATGGTGAAATGGTTATTTATAATCGTAATGAAAAGATTATACATTCGAAAGGTGATAGTTTTGATGTTAAATCAATTCAAGCAAATGATTCCCAATTACAACCATGTCTTATTGTATTTGATATATTAATGTATAATGATGAAATTTTAACAAATAAACCAATGAATGACCGTTTACAATATTTACATAAAAAAATTCTTGAACCTATTGAAGGACGAATTATTTTTTCAGCTATTAAACCGGGTACAAGTAATCAAGATGTTATTAACGAATTAAATTTAGCTATTGAAGAACGACAAGAAGGTATTGTTGTTAAAGATCCATGGTCAGTTTATAAACCAAATGTTCGAGAAAATGGTGGATGGTATAAAGTATGTATTGTTTTTTTGGATAATGAACTAAAAAGGAAAGCATTCATGAGTTTTGCATGAAATAGAGCACAGAAGAGAAGAGTTGTAGTAATAAGAAAAACTTTTCGGAAGATGTTAGAATATTTCATTCAGTATAGATAGTGACAGGAGAACATTCTTTCGTTATATTAGTTTTATTTTTAATATATCAAAAGTAGTAACAATGGTAAGAGGCCAGCCAATTCAAATTTTTCGGATCCAACTGAGTCCGGAATCAATCTGACAGGCTCTAACAGCAGTGCTTTAATACTGTGAAGAACATAAATAGAACAACGTCTCTTTATATGTGTTGATAGGACAAATAGTGTTCTATATTTTATTCGTATTTAGATGTTATTTTAGTACGTAATGATTTAAGATTAAGATTAATAAGAATATCGATTTGTTCCGTATTTTTAGATGTTGTTCTGATTAAGAGACGTATTCTAGTTCATGCTTTATCTACGAACTCCTGACTTTTACGCAACGATTGAGAATGTATTTTTTTAACTGTTTTAAAGGATGAATTCTAACCTTGAAAATATCTTCCCAGTCATAAGCTAAAGATTCGATTTGTTACACAGTGTTCAGAGTTTCTTAAGATCTACAAATCACACAAAATTCTCAACCAAAAAGAGATTAATCAATTGAAAGACTTCTCTCGTTTGACATAATGTGGTAACATTCTCATCATTAAGTCGTAATATCATAACATGAAAATGTTTTCTCTGATATTTATAAGTCAGTGATCTACTTTTCTCAACAAAGTCACTAAGATATCAAGTTCCGAATATTTTCTTATTAAACTAATTCTGTTCTTTTTTTTAATCTCTTTACAGATTAAACCAGATTATACTATTGGTGAGTTGTTTTTTTTATCAATATAAGTTTCATTAAATAATACATTTCTTTTTTGCTTTCTAGGTCTTAATGATGAAATCGATTGTTTGATAGTTGGTGGTTATTTTGGTACAGGTCGTTTACGTGCTGGTATGCTTTCTCATTTTCTTTGTTGTGCTGTTGTTAAACAAGCAAATACAGCAAATAATTCTGAACAAAAAAATCCTGATGATGAAAATGCTACAACATCAACACAATGTAAACCTGATGTACGTGATTATCTTTATTATACATTTTGTAAAATTGGTTCCGGTTATACACATAAAGAATTACTTGATTTTAATAATCGTTTTGCTAATAAATGGAAACCATGGACAAAAAAAACTGCACCATCATATATATTATGTACACATGAAAAACCTGATGTATGGATTGAACCAAGTGATTCATGTATTGTACAAGTTAAAGCAACTGAATTTATGGCATCAGATAAATATAAATGTGGTTTTACATTACGTTTTCCACGTTTAGAAAAATTTCGTGAAGATAAAGCTTGGTATGAATGTGTTACATATCAAGAATTAATTGATTTACGTGAAAGAAATGCTGGTAAATTAGCATCACGTTTTATGGAACATGAATTAAATGATGATTTTGATTTAAATGATGATGGACAACGTACAATAACATTAACAAAAAAATTACAACAAAAATCTCGACAAATAGCTAAACCAACTGTTGATTCACGTTTTCGTGGTATCGATCAACAATCAGTTAAACAAACTGGAGATTTTTTTTCAACATTGGAATTTTGTATTATGGAAGGAAATACAAAATATACAAAAGCTGAACTTGAAAAACTTGTTTATGAAAATGGTGGAACTTGTGTTCAAAATGCATTATCAAAAACTTATTGTGTTGTTACAGGTAAAAATAAAAAAAGAATCAAATTATATATTGATAAGAATATGTTTGTCCTAGCTAAAACTTTGAGAATTTTCTAATGACTATAAGAATTATCTATGAACAAGACATATTTAGTTCTGTCAGGTTCAATAAGACAAACATTATCTTATCAAGCATAGTTCAGTAAACTAAACTAAAAGGTATCATTTGCATTATCTCTTGACTTGAAAAGAAATCCATCATTCTTAAACCTGTTTATAAAACTTACATAAATAGAATTGTGAAAGATAGCTAATAAAGAATATTGAACTCGATTATTAAGTCTTTTTTATTTTTATTTTAGAATAGACATAATTTATGAAGTTTTTCTTTGTTTAGATAATCCCAATAGTATTCGCCTTCGTACATTAATTAAAAATAAACAAATTGATATCGTACATATAGTATGGTTAATACGTTGTATTGAACAAAAAAATTTATTACCATATTATTTATCAGATTTAATATCATGTACAGATAAAACTCGTCAAGCTCTCAATTTACTTTATGATGAATATGGTGATGCATATTATACATCAACAAATGAAAATGAACTTCGAGAAATTTTTAATAAGATGACATCAACATCAACAACAACAACAACATCAACTCCATCGTCACCAGTATCAACACCAATTAAAAACTTACCAACAAATAAAAAGCGTCGTCTTAATGAACCAATTCCATTATCACAATCAACAATAAATATTGATACAATATCAAATCCATTGGATGATAATGATAAACTTCGTTCATTTATATCTGAATTTGAAAATGCTTATTTTCCTGATGAATCATATGATTATGGTCTTTTTCGTTTATTTTATATTTATTTTGATCAATATTGGACTATAGGTGATGAATCAACACTATTTATTGATCCAAATCATAGTTTAATTATATTAGAAGGTCAATTGCATGGTGCACGTATAGCACATAAATTAACATCGGATGTTACACATGTTGTTTGCGCTAAACCAAATGTTGATGATAAAAAATTAAATGAACGTATAAATTTATTTAAAAAAATCAATCGTGAACGTGCAACTAAATTTCATTTAGTTAGTTATGAATGGATAAAAAATTGTATTGAAAATCAACGCCTTCTTAAAGAATTACCGTACGCTCTGTAGAAAATGTTTTGTTTTGCTTTTTTTTTTCGATTGTTTTTGTTTACTTACATTTGTGTAATTGTAAGTTCGTTGTCATTCCTAATTTGTTGAATTAAATAATAAATAAGAATAAAATAATAAATGTTTGATTCAAGTCTACGGAAACCGAAGGCAATAGGAAGCGCATTCTTCTTCTTTTGTTAGAGAGAGACCGGAATCTCGAATTTAGAAAAAAAGAAATAATTCGCCTATTGATATGCATGCATTAGTCATAAGAATGGTTGGAAATTTTTCAGTTTCGTTTTCTCCATGCTGAAAAGAAAACAGTGTCAAATATCTTTGTTAACAAGAGAAGTCTTTCAGTTGATTAATTGCTTTGAAATCTAAGCTGCGTGCATCATATATGATCCTAATGGAGTATGAATGTCTTGAAGTAAGTTCGTACTATTGGTTTATCACTGCTAAGGTATTGCATTTTCACGATAGTTTTTACTACGATATCATGTTATCCCTAAGAAACATCAAGAAAACTGAGTGTTGAATTTCAACTTGAAACTTTGTACAGCAATAAGACCTAACAACACTAGTTTACTGTGACGATTTTATACTTTTTTTTTGACTGCTTCTATTCTGACAGAAGAATACTGAGATCTAACAGTATATGTGGACGAAGTTAAAAATATCCTTTTATCATAGTCGTATCTTGAGATAGAAGAAAAAAAATAATCTGAAACTTTAACAATAAACTATTCTTGTTGAGGCTTGTATTTCTGCAAAGTTTCAAGTCGAAGTTCAAAACTGAGTTTTCTTGGTGTTATTTGAGGAGTAACACGACATTGGGCTGAAAAATATCGTAAAAATGCAATACTTGGGCAGCGATAAACCAATAGATCGAAATTTTTTCCGAGTAATCATAGTTCATTAGAACCTACATGACACACATAGTCCTGACTCAAAAGCAATTTAATGCTTAGATACATTCTCTCCTTAGACTATTGTTGCTGACAAATGAAGTTCTTCAGGTATGAAATCACATCTTCGTTATTGAGATATTGAGAGATTTTACTGGATTTTTCAACAAAAATTTGTAGTCACGTGAAAAATCAAGTTTTGACATCAAAATCTACACAAACGATATTCTTAACGAGATTTCTGGATTGCACAACCACCAATGTTTCTTTTCTGAAGATGTAAATAAATGAACAAAATTTGCTTTTACACATGAGAAGATTTCAAATATTGAAATGTCGTAGAATATGAGATACTAGCAAAGTTATAATGTGCTCGATGAACTAATTTCATTAAGGACTTTGTTTTCTGCAAAATTTGAAGTTGATTTTCGTATGATCTGAGGCAGACCATAGCTTCTGATTGAAAAATTCAGTAAAATTTCAATATCTCGCTTTGATCGAAAATGATTTTACATCTAGACAGTTTCTCTCGTGAATTTTAGCTTTCAACAGCAGAATTTTTTTTCGCTTTATATCTAAACAATATTCTTTTAATGTACTATTTGAACTCTTTACTAATGACAACAAAAACAAATTCATCATTTTCGAAAATGGATAGGATTATTTCTTGATAAGAAGTAGCTAGTCTAAGAACTATTTGGAAACTCGATTTGATATGATTAAAATCACATTAGTTCCTTATTACTCCGTTACATGAAATACCATTCAGAGACGTTAGATTATCTGTCTAATTCTACGATACATGCGTTACTGTAATTTGTCATTCATATAGAAGATAAAACAGAATGTCTGACAGAGTTATTTATGGAATGCATCTATGGAATCGAGTAAACAACAAATTTTGCTATTCTTTACTATTTGTTTTTTATAAATGAACTTTTTCTATATGTTGACTAACAACAAAAAAAAACAAAACAAATAATAAATTCAACGCCCTTTTTTTTATTCGACGCAGTTTGTTTATAAACAATTATGTTAGACATGAGTTAAGAAAAGCTTTCAATGTTCTTTTGAATATGTCGTAAGAAATCATCATGTGTTGATGAACTTTATTGTTTTATCATATCTAATTCTATGATCTAGTGTAGCTCTTTTGCGTTCATTTTTAATGAATATCTCTGTTAATATATTTTCTTCTTTTTCAATAATATATTCAACAGAAAACACTCTAGAAAAGTCGTTATTACACATTATACTAATTTGTTTTGCTTACTCTCTTAGCAGTGTGTCATTTTCGATTATTTCAAATTGATGATATCCAGCCAAACACTTTATACAGTAAAAACCGAGTGTGGTTGATAATTTTAGCAGTATACAAAAGATCAATTAATCTTTTAATTATTTACACAGTATTCATACGCAGATACGTGTATTGTATAAAATATTCTTCTTTTCTGGTTGTATATTAGTATTAACAAAGAAGAGAACAGCGATTGTCATCGTACAATTATAACATGTAATCAATACTGTCAACTGTCTTACTGATATAGATAACTGTATTAAGATATTTTAATGAAAGCGTCTATATAATAATCTTTTTGGGGCACTTAGTAAATACATTGCACCTCGTTTTGATCATGTCAGTCAATCTGATGATATTTCTGTCTCTTTTGCAATGATAAAACAAGATATAAACAATAAGTACAAGAATAGCTCAAGGTAAAAGAAGTTTTGAATAGAGGTACAGAATCTGGGCGCACGTACGTCTGTACATGTTTCAAGCATAAGTGAAGAAATGCCTTGAATTTAGGCTATGCTCAACAATCTTTATAAAATCCTCGTCGGAAAATTAAGAATAGATAGGAAAAATGAAGCGAATGATTTTATATCAATTAGATGAAACACGATTAATGTTTCTTTTTTCCAACTCATACTTTTCTCTGTAGAAAATTAGTATGGTCCAGCAAAAAAATTCGCATCGTACATCACAAAAAATACATACTTGAAGCAACACACCAATATTTGTCTTTAATTACTTTCCACTGTCGAAAGAAAAGTTTACGATTTGTTTTATTGAAAAATAGAATGATCGTGTAGCGAAATCATGCATAAAAAAAAATTAATTTCATTGTGAATCTGTTCACTTTGTAGAAAGTGTTTTTTGAGCATGTAAATGTAACAACTGAAGGTGCAAAAAACTTTCAGCTGCTTGTAGCTTATTCAAATCAGATTTCCATACAATTCTTCTTCACTTATAACAAAAGCATATTACTTCAAGTTATTGACACTGAAAGACTTAACAATGACTTATATAAAATTCAACCTTTCTTGAAGAATATTTTTTGAACTGGCTTCAACATGAAAATTCTATTATTTTCTGTCGAAAACAATGCAGAATTTTGATGTTTGTATAACAATTTCGATGCATTACATAAATCTATCAATCTAATGAAATGAGGAACAAAGGTTTAAGTTTAATTAAACCTACAATAATTGAATATAGAGGAAGCTTCAGCTTACCGAAGTCTCGTGGCTCCACTATTTATGTTTGGAAATATGTTCAGACTTTTAGAAAAGGAAACTTCTCGCACACTATCATCAACCAACGGTAAATTAAATAGAAATTATACAATATCCATAATAGAACTAATAAGACATTTTTGAGTGAATTATGGAATTACTCAGCTACTACGAAGGTAATTATAGCTGATTTCAACAATTACTACTGATCCAAAATGATATGTCCCGCTTCTTTTTAGAAGGTACTAAACAAACTGTATACACCTCATCAGCAAACATCTGAAAACACAAAAATACATGAAATCAATTTCCGCCCAACATTGAGCTATTCTAAGAAATTTACGGCAACTGCTAGAATTACTGTTATTATTCAACATCGATATCAATTTACTACTATGCGAAAAAAGAAGAACCTTCCGTCCAAAATATGAGGCACTCTAGTAATTTCGTAACTTACTTACAGGTTAACAGGTAATTTCTTTTTCTCCATCATAAATTACACTGATACACATACAGAAAATCGATTACGTAACTTCAGTATTTACTGCAATTCTATAGTATTTTGCGAAACTTTTGAATATTATGCGTCATTGTATATTTAAATATTTTGAACACAGTTGAAAATTTCTTCTATTGCGCATTGCTTATTATTGAACCTTTCTGGATGTTACTTGGTGATATATGCAATAATTGGGAATTGTACTAGAAACTATTTATGGATGAATGAGTTCTTCAACCATCGATTCAAAAATTAGTACTACACGCTTAAAAAATGTATCTATTATACCTATTGATTTTTCAGGTAACTCAATGACAACGATATCCATCGCGGTTAGCAGTCTGCCACTATTGTGATGACCTTCAATAAATACTTTAAAATTATTTTCCGTCGTTATACTAAGTTCGGAGAGCTAGATCAAATTCATCAGAATTCCAACCGTTGATCATGCATTTACTTATAAGTCATCATGGAAAAGTTAAAACGATAGATCTTTTGTGGAAACATCTCATTTTTAGACACAGATTCTGTACTTCTTGATTTCTACAGACACCTAGTTTTTTAGTGAAACAATGCAACAGACTATATACCAATATGAACAAACTGCTATCTCTATTATCTATCTACTAAACCCTAATAATCATGGATTCTGATTCGAGCAAGTTTGTACATCTTGAAAATTTACGGGACTATTGATCTTATTATGAAAGGCTAGGGTGTACTTTATTAAAATTTTAAAAACAAAATCTGACATAATGCTTTCAGTATAAAATAAAATCCATGATAGTTAACTCGATACAAATGTGTATGAACAAAAAATTGTACAATATTTATATTCTGATATGATGAAAGAAAATCCAAAACTTTCTTTCTTTAAAACTAACATCAACAGCAACGTTCAACATTGAAATACATCACTATGACTTGTAACGATGAAAATCTTTTAGTCTGAATCATCGTCTAAGCCGACGATCTTATCACGAACAACTAAATGAATAAAAAAAAAGCTTTTTTCCTGATTTGATCAAATAAAAAACTATAACCTCTTCGATCATAATGTCGATTTCTTTGGTCTTCATCGTAAAAATATG